GTAATGGGGCAAAGAAGAATAAGAGAAAACAACTCAGCTGCCCTCAAGGAGCTCATTCTGGTTGGGAGACAGCTTTACCAGAGTGTGGGAGCTGAGAAGGAATACCTAGACTTGGGTAGTGGTGCCAGGTGCTAAGATCTTCCTCAAGTGGATGAGGAAGAAGGGTGTTACCAGTGGAAGCAGCAGTTTGTACAGACACTAGTCGCATACATGGCTGCAGGAGAGTCTGTTGGGTTAGGGATAGTGGAGGAAGAGGAAGCTAGAAAGATAGCGAGGCTAAAGCACAAAGGGCATTGAAGACTCCACCAAGCACTTGGACTTTATCCTCTTGGTGGTGAGGAACAGTGAAGAAGATGTTCAGCAGGGGAATTATATGAACAGATTGAGCCTTTAGAAAGGTCCCTCTTGAATGGGGGTGGAGGCAGAGAACCTGGCCAGACAGTCAGTGCAGAAGTCTTGACTGAGGGGGACAGTGTTTGAACAGAAGCCTGAATTAAACCAGAAGATTTGGGGAAGGGGAAAAATCAAGATATACTAAGAAAGTAGAATATGTAGAACTTGGTGATTTATAGTGGGGGATGTGTTGGGAGTTGTCCTTAAATGATGGCCTGTTGTACTCAGAGATCAGGAAATTCTTGTTTGGTTAGGCTAAATAAATCTTAAAACTAAAAGACTGTTCCTCAAATTGGGGTCACAGTGTCTCCTTGGAGGTGTCATGCACATTTCTGGACTGTTTATGCTGCTTTATGCTCTGGATGTGTTTTAGGTTCCAAACAAGTTATGGTGGCAGCACGACTCTGGTTTTACAAACAAACCAAACCAATGATTCTTTTGAAAAACCATTCACTATTCCCCTCCCCGTGCCCCCTCGCCCCCCCCCCCCCATGCCAGTATCCTTTTCCTGGCCATGATCTAGCCAGTCTCTCTCCACTTGTCATGAAATTTATTGACTATCTCATCTCCTTCCTCTACCAGTCACACCTTTCTTATCTTCTGATTAAATAAAAGAATTAGCCTCTTCACTTATTCAAGAAATTGTTTCATGGATGCTAGTGTCTAAGGGTTTCAGAAGTCTAGCAATGAAACATCCCCTGCTAATTGGGGATGTTTGAGAAAACCTATAAGGTTTGCTTATTATCATGCCCTCCAGATGCCAGAGACTGTGTGTTGAGTATTTTACAAGTTAAAAGATCACAATGCTTGCCCTTTAGAAGCTCAACATCTGAAAACAAACCTATAGAGGTAGAAACTGGCAAGAAGAAAATGTTAGAAACAACATCTGCTTTAAATTACCTACAGTAGGATTTGGATGGGTAGCCGCTCAGAGTTATGGCCAGGTGTTAGTAGCCTTGATAGCTAACACTGCCGAACGTTGTTCTTTGAAGATTTAAGATTGAGTATAGGAGTTGAGAGCCTGGGTTCTGGGGGTCTGACTTCCTGGCTCTCCCACTTATTATATGTGTCACCTTGGCCAAATTACTTAATCTTTATGCTTCCTCCATTATCTGTAAGATGAGGATCATCATAGTATCTGCCCTAGGATTGCTGAGAGGATTAAATGGCAAATGTATGTGATGTGCATTGCACACCTCCTGACGTGGTGCAGTGTGCAGTGAGTACTTGCTGTTGATCATAACTGAACCCAGAGTGAAGGCTCCTAAAGCTCACTTGAGAAGGGTGTGCTGTGTGAGTTCCAAGGGGCATTGCTTTCCTTCCACGTGAAAGCTGTTGTGGCTGACCCTGAGATCCTTTGTAGTCTCTTTTGTTAATTGCAGAGAAAATGCTTTTTCAGGACAAGTTAGTCTTTTGAGTTTCCAAGCTACCTCTTTGATCACATCATACATGATTGGTATCGCTTCTGGGCATTTCCAGAAACAAGTTTGAAGGCCAGCAGGTGATGGGTGACACCTTAGAAGAGACTCAGGCATCACTGCCTCTCTGAAACCTTCCATTGGTATCCATCACCTCCCTCCTCATTCCAGTTCAACACATATTAATTGAGCACCTGTATTAGGCTCCAGGGATGCAAGGATGAACAGATGATTCCCATCCTCGTGAAACAGTGTACTATGTAAACAAATTCGATCCACTGTAATGCAAGCACAAATGGAAGTGTGAAAAAGGTCAGAGAGGTACACAGGAAGAATAGTAAGGAAAATTTCACAGATTTGTTGACGTCTCAGTAGATTTTGATTGGAATAAGAATGGGGAAAGTCACGGATCAGCATGGTTTGTACAGGAGAATGGGACAGTATGTGTGTAGGGGGATGTGATAGGATGTGAAATGAAGATGTGGGCAGAAGCTGGATCATGTAAGGGCTTGGCCTTTGACACGTGGATATTGGGGGCATGGAATGATTTTAGGCAACAGAATGCTATAAGATTTGCGTTTTTACCAGCATCATCCTCGTACAGAAGATGAACTTGAGAAAGATGGTGGAGATCCTGGCAGGTTCCTGTCCTCACTGCAGATTCTTTGAGGCCAGTGACAGAGTCCTATTGACTTCTGTATCCCTAAAGCCTAGTAGTTTATAGATATTGAAGAAATTTTTTGTAATAAAGGCAGGCCAAGTTGAATTCTCCATTTCTGCATCCTATCCTCAGAACATGCTGACCTGGACCTCCATCTGTCATAAGCAGCTTGACTAAGATCATAATAAATTCTTTTTTCTTGGCGTTCTTTTAACTGGCACTCTCTATTTACTAGCCCCTCTGTGCAACTGTAGTGTGGTGATGATTGATGTTTATAATTCTGACCCCGAGGTGCTTCAAGCTTTCTAAATCATCAAAAAAAGATTAAAGTATATTCAATATCGCTGTAATGTTTGTGTGTTTTACTGCATTCTTATTCTTTGGAAATTGATGGTTTATCAAGTGCCTGTATACTCATGTGCTCATAGGCACAGTGAGAGGCTGTGATCACCCACAACTCTTCACTCCCTCGCAGTGCGAGGCACCGGGAGTTTATTAGCAATACATGCTCAGAAATAAGCAAGCAAAACAAACCTAGGTGCTCTTCATGCCTGGAAGGAGGAAGCACGTTGGCCCCAAAGGGGCAGATTGGACAGAGATGAGAGAGAAAGTGGTGTTTGGAGAAACAGTGGGAGTGATAAAGCAAGAACTGGTACAGACCAGCGAGTCAGGCAGTTTACAAGCCAGCCCATGGTGCAGCCCAGCCCAGGAAGAGCAGGGCTCAGGGCCAGGACACCAGCTTCGTGTCCTTGTGTGCCTTGACCTGGGTCATCAGGCTTGGGTTTGGCAGCATTCTCCACCAGCTATATTTGTATTGCAGTAACAACTGTTCAGTAAAAAGACAAACATTAGCAAGTGAAAACATCAATAACTAGAGCATCCTGTTCCACACACACACACATCTTCCCATGAAAACCGTTACTACTGCAGAACTGATAGTATTATTCGGCCTAAAATGAAGAACTCCGAACAGAAGCTGTAAGATGGCTCCATTTTGTAACCTGGCTTCCCTAAAAAGCATGTGATGTTGTTACCAGGAGGGAGTTTTGCTGTTTGGGATTTCTTTTGGGGGTTGTATACTACAATAAGTAGAAATGCCTCTTACATTTTGTTGTATAGATTTGTTTTTAAAATCTCTGTGTTTGATCAACAAGTTACGCCTGTGTCAGGGCAACACACTCATCGTCCCAGGCCGGAGAGCCCGTCCCCGACCCCCAGGGATTCTCTTTGCCTCCCTTTAGGCAAAGGCGCCTGAACTCTAGAGCTGGCTTGACCGTTTGCCAGCTCTGTGATTTGGGCGAGTCTTACAGTCTCTCTGAGTCTTGGTTTTTTCTTTTTCTGAAATAGTGGAATACTACAAATTCCTTTTTACAGGGTTGCTGTTAGGGTGAAATAAAATGGTGGATGTGAAAATGCTTAACTGGAAAGCCCTATAGAAATAATAATATACTAAATATACTAAAGAACATCATAAATATTCTAATAAAAAATAGAAATATGTTTCATCAGCGAGCACAATGTCCTCAAAAATTTCCCCCAAGTAGAGTGGGGAGAATGAGCTCTATTGAATTCCTACTATAGAGTAGAGGTTCTAGCTGTTACTTTATCCACTCTGCAAGGTAGATATCAAACCTCTGTTTCAGAGATGAGGAAACTGAGGCTTCCAGTCACACAGCTGTATATTCATAGCGGGAGTGGGATTTGGACCTGACTCCAGAACCTAATGCTCCTTTCTCCTTGTCTCTAGTTGTCTGTCTTATTCCCAACCCCCACCCCCACCCCAGAGTTCTTAAAAGCTGTTCATACCCTTTTGGGCTAGGGGGTCTACTAGTCATTTCTTGGTCATTCACTCCTGACAGTGGGCAGTGTGGGATCCAGAGGAACTCCTCAGCTCTGAGGGCCTCTGGAGGGACCAGCAGCTCAGGGAGAGTCAGGGCGTAGGGCCTGCTCAGGCTCCACTTTTAGAGGCTGGGCCAGGCCTGGACTGAAAGCGTGGAGGCAGGCATCCCACCTTTCCTAGCTTTGAGGGAGTGGCTACAGCCCTGTAGTTTCCAGAAGTTCATTCTTTCTCTGTCAAGGTGTTTTCCAACCTCACTGATGTTGTTTGTGAGCTGCCTCTTGGACTCTCCTCTCAGGAATCAATGCCTCTCATGTATTCTGACCAGCTCCTTGTTCTGCTTGCAGAGGGAGTGAGATTAACTTTATTCCATGTAGTAACCACTCTACTGAGCTTTTCTGGGACCTTCCCTGTTAACTTTGATGTCAGGTATTGGGGGAAAGGATCCCTGATGTGGCAGTTTATTAAGTACCCAGGGTGACCCACCGCTGCATGTATTTTCTTTTTTATATGAACTTCTCCTGATTCCAGAGAGACAGAGTTAGCTTGTGAACTGGAGCTGCCCACACAGAGAACCAGAGATAATGCCCGTTGAAGGCCAAATTGAATATTCAGGGAGGATGTCAGCGTGTGGGAGAAGCATTTGTTCAGACTGTGGATCTGAGAGGAGCTGTGTGTCGTGTTTCCATAGGTTCTCAACAGGAGGTGCGTAGAAGCGGCGGTGATGACAGGCCTGGCGCTGAACTGCCGCATAAACAAGAAGTCCTTGTTTGACAGGAAGCACTACTTCTATGCAGACCTCCCTGTAAGTATGCTTTGTGACCCGCCCTCTGTGCATGCTCAGTGCTGGGGGTTTGGAGCAAGGGAGGCTGGCTGTGCCTCTCCTGTTTGCAGTCAGAGCTCTGTCCGTCTCAGCGGGCACTTCTGGCCAGCCCTGATGAAGGCAGGTGCCCCCCGACGTTTACTAGATTGGATGTGATTGTCCTGATTGCGGACTCCTTCCTTAGCCTCATGCTTCTGGTGGCTCACTCATAATTGAACGGGGAGTAGAAGCCGCCAGTGTTCTCAGGCTCGGCCCAGCCGTGGTGTTTGCTGCTAATTGCCTGTTAGGACCAAAGCTAACTTTGTGGCTGATGCCGTGGTAAACGCATACTGTAGCTCTGTAGACAGTGAGAGCGTCCCTCTTTTAAGCTTAAGTTCCTAATAATAGGACTGTCTCCGTTGGAGACACTTCTGTCATCTCACAAGGGGTAAATCAGTGGACACTAATAAGCAGAAACATGCACCAGAAGCCTGACTAACAGCAGTAATTGGCTGAGCAGTAAACCCAATATTAACCTGCTTTCTCCTTAAAATTAGAAAGTTTGTTTAAGAGAAGCCGGTGTGAACTACAGCCAATTTTTCATAATATTGAACTGAACCAAAACTGTGATGTTGAGTGTGTTTCCCAAAATAATGTTTCATTCTATCTGAGCCTCTGATAGTAAGTATGGCCCTCCTTCAGATTTAGAAAAACAGTAGTGACAATGTGGCTTCACATTATTCTCCTTGAACTGAAGATTAGGGTGAGCTGTTTTTTAATGGGTGAGGGCAGGAGTAAAATTAAATAAAAATGCAGTTAGAACCTGAATTCTCCAATTGCTGCTGCTTTTCCCCTCTGGCTGCCAGCCTTTTAGCAAATTATGCTGCTTAGTAGGATGGAGAGAATTAAACTGCGTTTTTTCATCTTTAAAAGTGGTAACCAGTTTGGTTAAGGTGGGAGACTGACCAATATGTGACTAAAATGAGATGTTTTGATTATCTGTGGCTTTCTCTTCTTTCTAGACCAGGTAGCTCAGATAATCTAGGGTTAGTCTTGCTAAATCTTACATGGAACATACTTATGCTAAAGAAGTATTTGTTGTTTATCTGAATAAACAATTTATTCAAATTATTCAAATTGGACTTTAACTGAGCATCCTGTGTTTTTTCTGACAACCCTGCTCAGAATTTAATTTTTACAAATTGAGACTTCCTATTTCAGTCCAGGGAATGAGTTGGCCTAATGCAGTGGTTTTCAAAGTATGTTCCCCAGGCCACTAGCATCAGCATCTCCTGGGAAGTTGTTAGAAATATAAATTCTCACGTGCCTCCCCAGACCTGCGGAATCAGAAACTCGTCAGGTGGGGCCAGACAGTCTGTGTTTTGATTAGCCTGCTGAGTGATTCAGATGCAGCTAAAGTTTGAAAAATGCTGGCCTGCTGACTAGGAGCGCAGACTCTGGAGCTAGACCATCTGAGTTGAAATCCTGATGTTAGTACTTACTAGCTCTGTGGCTTTGGGCAAGGCCCTGTACCTCCCTCATAGGGTTGTCATGAGGATTAAAGGGGGTAAGGCACTGAGGACAGTGTCTGGACCACAGACGCTACAGATGCTTCAGATGCTTCAGCTGTTATTCTGTTTCTCTCCAGTTCTCCGTGTTGACCCGCCATCTCTTTAGTGTGTGTTGATGATGCGTGTGTCATTTGAAAGTAATTCTTCCTCTCCACTTAGAAGGAGGTGAGGGATTCCCTGCAACACCCATCAGTATGTCAGTACTGCGTACTTTCCATTAGCCGCGTGTGAGTGTCACAGCGTTTTTTGGCTAGAGGAGCAGGGAAGTTGGGTTAGGGAGGGCAGCTGGCATGCGTGGTTAGCTTACAGAGCAGGAACAAAACAAGCTTAAGCGCACCAGCAACTGCTGTCAGCCCCGCTGAGAGTAGATGGCAGAATGCTTAGCCAGCACTTCCCAATAAGGGGGGTTCTGTCAGGAGCCCAGTAATCAGATGCGGAGTTTAGGCTAATGAGCTAAGTGGAAACAATAAATTCTTTTCTTAGAGGTCTCTGACAGTGAGATTATTGTTATTCCCCAAAATGGTACTTTGGTAAGGAAGATGAGATTCGTGTTGTGTGTTGCATCATTATTGGGGGTAGGGGGCTGCAGGGAACGCAAAGGGGGATGGGAAAAGCCAGAAGAGGCCAGACTAAATTATGGCTGCAGTGCATAAACTAATTTTTCTTCTCCTTTTCCTTTTTTCTTTTTGTTTTGTTGTGTTGTGTTTTTAAGTAAGCCTGTAGTTTTGTGACATTAAAAGCAATAGTAAACTGGACCTAGCTTTTATATCTGGACTAATGACTGTGTAACCCATGTTTGTGTGCAGGCAGGCTACCAAATTACCCAGCAAAGGCTCCCAATCGCTGTGAATGGGAGCCTGGTGTACAGCTTCTGTGCAGGCAAGAACCGGAGTCAGGTGATCAACAAGACAGCGAGGGTCAAGCAGATCCAGCTGGAGCAAGACAGTGGCAAAAGCCTCCACGATGACCTGCGCTCTCAGACGCTCATTGATTTGAACAGGGCGGGTAGGCTTGGAGATTTTCCACTATTTTTCCTTCCAGCCACCTCTCTTCTCCTCCAGAGTTCTCCCAACCCAATTGAGGAAACAGGCCCAGGAACGTGACAGATGGAGATGAAAATATCAGCTTTGGTGTTGGCACAGCTGATTAGAGAGCATGGCTTGAACTGTGATTACTATTGGGTTTGCTAATAATCCACCCCTAAAATGAGGCAGATGTAGCTACCTAGTCACGGACCCAACAGCTGGACATCTTAAGTGGCCTTTAAAGAAATGAACCAAAGTTAAAAATCAAAATGTAGGGGGAAGAGAGAAACAATTCAGAGTCTAGAACCCACTTTGAGAGTCCTTCAGTAACGCAGGGTTTTCCTGAGACTTCGGCCTAACTTATCTGCTGATCCAATTGGAGAGCTCCAGTCAGACTGACCCTGCCTCTCTTTGGTAGGAGTTGGCCTGCTGGAAGTGGTCCTGGAGCCCGATATGTCCTGTGGAGAAGAGGCGGCAACAGCAGTCAGGGAGCTGCAGCTGATACTTCAAGCCCTGGGGACCAGCCAGGCAAATATGGCAGGTGAAGCCACAGGAGCTGTGTCCCTCCTCCTTTACCTCCTCCCTTTCTGCTTCCAGGCTCTCTTCTCACTGGAGTTTTGTTCTCTGCATCAGCTACATTGAGGTGGTATACCTCCTTTTTTCAGCCTTTTGCACTCTTGTTTGTTTTGTTTGTTCTTAGAATTTTCCTTGGATTCTTTTCTGAGCACCCAACCATGGTAAACACACAAACAACAGTGCAGAGAGACTAAGCCCAAGAAGGTGAGATTACGAGGCAAAGGACTAGATGCTTTCTGCTGGCTTCATGCATCAAAATGTTGAGGATTAATAAAATAATGTGTTTGAACAGTTTCATCTTTCTCAGAAGGGAGAAGCTGTGTTTACCCAGAATAACTCTTAGTTTGTGAGTGCTGTGTGGGTGGCAGGTTTTTGCTGTTTGATGCTTTTCCGTTAGGTCTCTTTCTTTTCCATCTTTTGTAGAATTTTCATCCATGTACAGCTGAAGCCAAATTCTAGCAACTATAAGCTAAGGTTACGATTTCACAAAACTTTAACTTTGAAATAAAATCTTAAGTTCAGTAGAAATATAGTAAGAAATTAAACAAAGAAAAAAATACTTGTACCCTTGAGACCAAGCAAACTGGATATCATTGATTACATTGGATTAAACTGGATATAAAGATTGATTGAGTATTGGTCAAACTCAGTTTCTTCATGGCTCGCTGCCTTGGTCCCTTCCTAATGCTGCCTTGCTGGTCCTGAAGTCCCTGGAAGTTCATTTCTCCCATGGTTTTCCGCTGTTTTCTGTTCCCAGGGGCTTTTTAAAAATTGCCGCCCGCAGAGCACTCCCTGATAGAGTGGAGGAAGGATACAAGTTCTGCATATACAGTTGTTGATCTGTACTCAGTACAGTGGTGTGTTAGTGAGGGTTCTCCAGAGAAACAGAACCAATAGAATGTGTGTGTGTGTTATAAAAATACGTATGTGTGTTTATATATAAGAGATTTATTATAAGGACTTGGCTTATGTGCTTATGGAGGCTGAGAAGTCCTAAGATGTGCAGTCAGCAAGCTCCGGGAGAGTCAGTGCAGGAGAGCTCTTGCAGGAGAGCAAGCTCCAGGATTGCCAGTGGAATAGTTCTAGTCCACGTCCAAGGGCCTGAGACTCAGGAGAGCCAATGCTGTAAAAGTCCGAAGGCAGAAGACTGATGTTGCAGCTCCAAGACAAGTAGAGAGAGCAAATTACCCCCTACTCAGCCTTTTTTTCTATTGAGGCCTTCAGCGGATTGAATGCGGCCCATCCACAATGGGAAAGGCAATCTGCTTTATTCAGTCTACCATTCTAATGTTAATCTCATCCAGAAACACCCTCACAGACACTCCCAGAATAATGTTCAGCCAAATATCTGGGTACCCCATGGCCCAGTCAAGTTGACACATAAAATTAACCATCATAAGTGGTCCAGTGGGTGCAAGTAAATACCAGTGATTATGATGCTTCATCTCTCTACCAGTTTATAATGCTATTTACCAACCTTTTTATGTCTCATAATATATTTGCATGTTACAAAGGGACTTCTGAATTTCTAATGCCACATTTGTCACATGGGACGTCTTACAAGCAACAAATTGTAACATCAGAGCCCTGGTACAAGTTGAATTTGGAGACAGAACTTGCTGATTTGCTATCTTCTTTAAGCCAAAGACTGGAAAAACACAGCCACATAAGTTTGAGTGGTGTAAAGGTTAGCTGCCTACAAATTTGTGTTATAGAAGTGAGGCTCTGTTTTAGAATAAAAGCGCTCTCCATTTTAGGTTTATGGCTCATGCTGCTTTTTTACCCCCAGAACATAAATGAGATATGGGCAGTTTGAATGGCTATCCATTTATGCACTGAGTGTTGATTCTCTGTTGCTTTAAAAAAGTTTTTATTATTCCATTCTTCCTCAAAATAACTATTTCCTACCAAACTTATGGAATAATAAACAGGCCACCTGTTAGCTGAGAAATAGTCCCATCTGGGACCTTGCCAAGAAATAAACCATAACGCAAGAACTCATCAGTCAGTGACAGCTGAGAGGGTTCATTAAATCGCATTTGTTGTGACACTTTTTGTTGCTTTTAAATACAAATCCAACAGCTTTGCCCCTAGCACAGCAGCAGAGTTGCTCTGGTTGTTATACAGTGCTCTGGGGATTGAAGGCCTGCCTGGAGTCTGTGGGGGTCCAGCTTTTATGCTGTTAGCATTTTATCTGCCCCGAGCCCTTTGCTCATTCTGCTGTCCCACGACCGACCGTAGGACCACTGTGTGTCAGCAGTGGAGACTGCAGCCTGGGAACTGAGGACCACCCTAGGGAGGACCCGTGGATCCCCAGCATGCTTTGGAATGACTCTTACATTGCTCTGGGCTGTGATTCAGTGAGTTCCTGATAGTTTTGCTAATGAGCATGGACCAGCTCAGCCCAGGTTCCAAAAGTCATTTCCTTCTCAGTGGATGTCTGCCACTGTTGAGATCCTCAAGGCAGTCTCTTGAGTTGAATGTGTACTTGATGTAGACGTACTAAATATTTCCATGATAATGATATCTGCCAGTTTGAACATTTAGTAGTGCTCATTGGTTCACTAAACATTTTTTAAAATTAATTTATCATCTCATTTAAACTTTATGACATTCCTGAGAGATAGGTATTATTATCCCTGTTGTACAGGTAGGAAACTGAGGCCTAGAGAAGTTGGGTTATTTGCCCAAGGAAGTGACCGAGCTGGAATTTGATCCAAGGTATGCCCGACTCCAGGAGCCCTTTCTTTAAGCACCGCAACAACACTGCTTCCTAGTGGCAGCGATGACACTGTCATAACAGCCATAGATAATGGCTTAGAGAGGCAGTGTAGCAAAGCATGGGTGCTGAGGGTGCTGAGGTCCCAGACCTGGGTTGGAATCCTGGCCTACACGTCTAGCTGAAGGAACCTGGGCAAGGTGTTTGATTTCTCTGAGCCTCACTTTCCGTACTTATACTTTAAAGGAAGACACCAAAGAGGAAAGGAAGTCATCCTAGTCTTCAGATAGAGTTGGGGCAGCTGGATGGTGTCACCCTTTACTGAGATAGGGAAGATTGGGAGAGGAATGGCAATCTGGAATTCCGTGTTGGATGGAAGTTTGAAATGCCTAAAGGATGCCTAAGTGGCTTTGTCGTTGAAGCTATATTGTAGGGAATGAACGTGGTGTAAAGTGTATAAAATTGCTCACAGGTCCTGACAGATGGCCTGTGCTCAGTCAAGGTTGGGTGCTTTTGTTAACAAGAATAAATAGTATTACTTCTGCGGAATCACCACTCATTTTGGATGAATAAGCTGTGTGAAATATGTTTGATAAAATTTGGTCACATTATTATTTTTTTGGTCAAACCTTGTTATTTAAGTTCTGGAGAGTATTCATCCATCAGAATGAGATAGCTTAACAGACCTTCTCACTAACTTCTCAGGCCCCTGCTGTTTACAGAAACAGTTTTCTCTCCCGATGTTATATCTCTGATGTGTGAATGTGTTTTAGAAAAAAAATATGTGACTGCACCATATCACTGTGCTCAGCGGTATAGTTTTTTAGTTTTGCTGTTACAAACCTCTACTTCTGGAGGGTAGAAATTGAGCTTAATAACATTCTCGTGATGTGTGAACCAAGGCCCTCCCTCAGTGTTGCAGAATGCATTGAAGTAAACCTGACTGGTAAGGCTTTTGCGCACTTGAGGCAATTTAACTTAATTTGTTTAAGAGGTATTTTGTCTTCCCTGGATAGAATGTCTTTTATTAATGTTTGATACTGTATTTGAATCCAGGCTAGTGAACTCTCTTTCAACACTGCAGGATGCTAAATGATTCCTCTCAGACATTTATGTAGTATGGTCTTCTCTGGGAGAGACTGAAATTCATGCTTTTATTCCCTTTCCAAATTAGAATTCTAAATTGTGAAAGATGGTTTCGTTTTTAAAAGCAGGTGAGGTCCAATTCAAGGCTCCCTTGAGTTCAAAAAAAGTTGTCTCCCCAAAGGCTTAATATCCATAATATATATAGAACTCTCGCAACTCAACCACAAAACATCAAACAACCCAATCAAAAAATGGGCTGGAGACATGAACAGACATTTCTCCAAAGAAGATATACTGATGGCCAATAGGCACATGAAAAGATGCTCATCATCGCTGATCATCAGGGAAATGCAAATCAAAACTACACTAAGATATCACCTTACACCCGTTAGAATGACAAAAATATCTAAAACTAATAGCAACAAATGTTGGAGAGGTTGCGGAGAAAAAGGAACCCTCATACACTGCTGGTGGGAATGCAAACTGGTGCAGCCACTATGGAAAATAGTATGGAGATTCCTCAAAAAATTAAAAATAGAACTACCATACGATCCAGCCATCCCACTACTGGGTATTTATCCAAAGAGCTTGAAGTCAGCAATCCCAAAAGTCCTATGCACCCCAATGGTTATTGCAGCACTGTTTACAATAGCCAAGACATGGAAGCAACCTAAGTGTCCAGCAATAGACGAATGGATAAAGAAGATGTGGTACATATATACAATGGAATACTACTCAGCTGCAAAACAGAACAAAATCATTCCATTTGCAACAACATGGATGGACCTTGAGAGAATTATGTTAAGTGAAATAAGCCAGCGAGAGAAGCCACTTTATCGGTGTATGACTCCACTCATATGAGGAATTTAAAATTAG